TGGGACTGCAGGTGTGTCTGAAGGCGGCGCAGCAGAGGGACACCGTTGCGGGATTGCCTCTTCAGAGTCCAGTAGCTGTGCAGCCTCTGCATGAACTGACTCTTCCTCTGGATAGTTAGACGATTGGTAATCTTGCTGAGCCTGAAGAAGGGAGAGGAACCACAAACCCAATCAGCAAAGCAAACCTGGCCATAGTAGAAGCCCCAGTGTAGCAGCGAGGCCACCCATGAGCTCCTCAGACTGAGCACACACATTTGTTTAGCAGAAATCCCTGACAGGCCAAGGAATGAGGCAGCACACCACCGACAGTTACACTGAAAAACTTTCAGCCTTGTCTCTCTGAAAGGCCTTTTCCTTTCTTTCCTTTCCTCTTGACTGTTCCAGGTTGGGGTGCAAGGCAGGGGCACTGGCAGCTGGGCCTTTCACAGCTCCCTGTGGCCCCGAGACCACAGCACGGCTGTCCCAAAGCTGTGATTCACCCGGCTTATTATGTTGGCAATGAGGGGCCACCCAAGACGACAAAGGCCCTATTCAAACATTACCAGACAGCTCGGCAGCCCCGAGGAGTTTGTAGCATGAACAAATCTGGGAAAGCGTGAGGAGGGGTGGGCAGACACTAGCAGAACAGAGCTTGCTGTCAGAGCTAAGGAAGGACTACCCTGAACAGCCCCAAACAAAACAAAAGGGGTTTTCCTCCTCTTTACAATGGCAAAGCCTGAAGCAACTGAGACAGCCTCTTACACCAGTGCAGTTAAGAGATGCCCTGCTAGGTGGGACTGAAGTGTGGACCCCATATCTCCATGTCCTGCAGGGACAGCTCTTCACACAGGGTGATCTGACCTGCATCAGCCTCAGCTGAAGGCAGACAGCATCATCATCTGCTGTCATTGGCTGCGCACAGCTTCTACAGGAAGACATTTGGCATTCTGGCAACAGCCCTTGAAGAATAATTAATCCCAACAGGAAGGCCTGGGGTGAGGTTAACAGCTTCTATCTCAGTGTGGGTTTCACTGTGAGCCCGAGGGTAGCAGAAAAAGCCTACAAACAGCTTGCCAGTGCATCCACACGTGGGAACAAGAGGCTCGGGTTATGGAACGCACCCTGAGCGAGCGAGCCGTACCATACGGTTAGCACACCACCACCATGGCGCGAAGCCATCAATCCTGCAGCACAGACCTGCCCACACAAGTGCCCCAAACTGCCCACAGAGCAAACCCCAGTGCCTGCATACCCCCTCCCACTCCACAGGAGCCCTGAAGGAGCCCTGCCAGGAGGCAGTGGCCCCGTGCCGTGACAGCTGCGACTCTGGGACCTGAGGGCCAGCGAGTGCAGCTCCAGTGTGGTGTCCCAGCTGCAATGAGGAGCACCCGGCTGGTGACTCATGGCCACGAAGGCAAATGCTGCCCTGCCCGGCTCCAGCTGTGCACCACAGGCACACCGCAAGGCTGGGAAGCAGCAGGACTGTGTGGGGCCAGCTGTGGCAAAAGGAAGGTGGCCTCTGCTTTCTTCCTGCAGCCTGCTCCAACACACAGGAGAAGAGCTCTGGGAGCCCCCAGCTGCTTCCTGCCACCTCTGGCCAAGCTCGGTTGCTGTCATGAAGCCAGCGGCATCTATTTCCTGTACAGGCAACTCGTGGGGCTGCACATTTCACTCCTCTCTGCGGGAAAGCCAGAGGAAACCACAAACAGCCCTGGGGAAGAGCAATGTGAAAAGCATTTGTGCAAAAAGATAACGCCTGCATACAAAGCGAGACACGAGACGGTGAGAAAGGGAGAGGCTTCTCCACAGCAAGGGGAAGGCAACGAGTTGTACCTGTGAGGGGGGATGCAGGGAACAGAAACCACAGGCGCTGCAGCTCGTTTTTCTGCCAGGATCTTCCGCGCCTTCTTCATTTTGATTCTAGACTTGGCCTTTGCCTTTTTCACCTTCTCGGAGCTCCAGCTCTTTCCTTCCTCCTCCTCCTCCTCATCCTCCTCTTCCCCCTCGCTGTGGGAAAGCGCGGGAAGCCTGCGCACAGAGCCTGGAGGTGTGTGGATGTCACAGTAGGCGGTTTTGCGCACGCTGAACGAGGTCCCGTTTGCTCCCGTCTCACGGACGGGCTCCATCTTCATGTAGAGTCCAGCCTGCTGGGCACAGGTGACGTGGAAAGCGGTGTAACAGTTTGCCTTGTGACACTGGATGCAAGCCCCAGAGCCACGCTGCTTGCAAATATAGCAGGTCAGCTTCCACCGCGCGGGTGGGATGTGCTCGATGCTGTCTATGGGCTCCAGGAAGACCGTGTTGGCAAAGCACACCTCCGGGATCCAGAGGGCACAGACCACGTGTGCCCAGCGCCCATCGTCCGTCTGCTTGAACGCGCCGCCCTTGTTGGGGCACAGGGCGCAGTCCACGGCTCGCGAGGGTGACTGCAGGCACCTCCTGCAGAGCCACTGTCCCTCGGGGATGTAGGGCACCCCGTAGCACTCCTGGTGCACGGCCAGGTTGCACATATCACAGAAAAGGATGACGTTGCTGTTCTGGCATTCCCCGTCATTGCAGATGCAGCACACGGCATCCTCGTCAACCAAGGCGTTGGGGTCCCCCTTGTTGTGGCTCTCAAAATACGACTCCTTCTCCAGCCTGTCCATCAGGTACTCAAAGATCTCCTGGGGAATGGGACTGACGCCCTCAGTCTTCCTCCGCTCGTTCATGATATCCAGCCAGATGTAATCTTCCTCGTCCATGTCGTACTCCACCTCCTCATCCAGCTCCTCCGCTGACTTCTCAATGTACCTGGAAGGGGAAGGCACGGGAGGGTCAGAGTTCTGCATATTACAGCCAAAAGAAACCCCAACAAACAGGAAAGAAGCAGCTGCGCTCAGAAGCTGGAGGTGCTGCTGCACTGCTCGGGGTACCGTACAACACAGCTGGGTGTTCAGACAAAATAACAAGTTGCAGACATTGGAGACAACACAAGACAGGAACTTACACAAGCCAGCAAGTGGGCACCTGGAGCTCTGGAGGCAGCAACCTTGTTCCCCAGACACACGAGCATTGGCCCTGCTGCAAATGGAGTGCAGACAGTGCCATGTTTTGGTAATTCTACCTGCTGCCACCTGTGGGTGAGGCAAGCTGAACTGGGGAAAAGCCAGAAGCCCCTGCACCCTGCTCCATCCATAAATGACCAGCAGTCACAGTGCAGCACCACATCGAGCACTATGCAGAGACCTTATGGGGAGCTCTCTTCTCCTGCAGTGTGACGCAAGCCCACATTATTCCTCTGTGCCTGCAGCTTGGTGCCAGCCTCTCAGGCAGCATGGTGGCTAAGAGGGCAGAGGTGGCTGTGAGAGCATCGCTTCAATGCTCAGTACTGGCTCTGCTTATTTTGCCCAATTAATAAACCACGTATGGAAAACCCATAGGGCCACAAGAACACATTAAGCTTGGAAACACACAGAGCTTACAGCTGAACTTTGGTGCTGGAGGACTCCTGACTTATCTTAGAGCGTCTCTAAAGTGCAGTGGGGAAGGCAGAAGAACTCTCTCTGTCTTCCATGGAATGGTTGGCTTGGGAGGGCTCTTGAAGCCCACCCAGCTCAATCCCTGTCGCGGCCTGGCTGCCACACAGCAGCCTGGCCATGGGCACCTCCGTGGAGGGGGCACCCACAGCTCTGGGTGGCTCGGTGCCCTCTGAGTACGGAGTTTTCCCCCAGCATCTAACCAAGTAGTTTAAACCCATTCCTCCTCACCCTACCACTAGAAGACCGCAAGAAGTCGCTCCCCACGTTTGCCACGAGCTCCCCTTTAACCCTTATAACCACACCGACACCAGACCCCAGGCAAGCCCCCAGGCGGCACCCGAAAGCCGCGTGGCTACGAGGCCCCCATCCCGCGGGGCGGCACCGGGCGGCCGAGAACACTCCGCTACCTGTAGTAGGAGGTGGGGCGCGGCGGAGCGTCGGGCGTGTCCTGCTCCAGCTCCCGGTACACCACCTCGGGCAGCTTGGGGGCCGCGCCGGCCGAGGCGTTGTGGTGGTGGTGGTGGTTGGAGTCCTTGCGCTTCTCCTTGCTCTTCTGCTTGGCCGACTTGGGCGCGGCGGCGGCGGCGGCGGCCGCTTGGCTCTCCCCGTTCTCCTTGCTGCCGCCGTTCTCCGGCGCCTCCTCGGCGGCCTCCTCGTCCTCCGACACCACGTCCAGGTTGTCGAAGATGCTGATGCGGTGCACGCGGCCGTGCAGGTCCACCTCCACCATGCGCTGGGCCTGCGCGTAGGTCATCACCTCGCGGCCCGGAGATTGCGACGCCTCCGAGGGGTTCGGGGACTGCTTGTCGGCGGCGCCGGCGCGGCCCTGGCGGCCCTTCTTCTTGTGCTTGCGGAGCGGCGGCTGCTGCGGCGGCGGCGGGTTGTCGTGGTCATAGTGGTACAGGTGGTACTCGATGCCGCTGTAGCTCTTGTAGATCTTACGGCAGCTCCCCACCGGGCACTCGTAGGGCGGCTTGGTGGCCCGCAGGTTGTGGCAGAACGTCTTCACGTCGAAGTCGACCCCCATGGCGCGGCCTCGGCCTCGTGCGGGCGGCGCTGGGGCGCCGAGGCCCGGCCCTGCTGCCGCCTCCCGCCGCGCTCAGCGGCCCCGCGCCCGCGCCATGGCCCGGCCCGCAACAATGGAGGAGCGCGGGGCGCCGCTGGGTAAAGCGCGCGGCGGCCTTAGCAACCGCACTTTCGCCACCGCGCCGGCGGAGCGGGCGGGACGGGCCGTGGGCGGGCGGAGAGGGGTGGGCGGAGCGGCGGAGATCGGAGCGAGGAGATCGGAGCGAGGGGAACGGAGCGCGCTTCCCGAAGAGGAGGGGACGCGGTGCTGCGCGGCGAGCGGCGAATCTGCCGACGCGAATCTCAAGGACGAGGACCCGCGCCGCAGCGGCCCGGTGCGGTTGGAGCGTTTTATTGCGGTCGGTGACGGCGGCGCAGCCCCGCGCACGGCGCTTCGCGACCGGACCCGGCGGTGACGCGGCCGCGCCGCTTCCGTCACTGCGCGGCGTTGCGGCGGGGCTCGATGCCGCGGCCCCGCATGTAGGACAGCAGCTGCTCGGGAATCTCGGCCAGCACGTCCTTGGCCAGGCGCGCCATGCTCCGCACCTGGCTGCCCGCCTCGTCCACGTAGTCCCGGAACGGCACGAACTGGGGGCAGCGGGGGGCCCGGCCCCGAGCTCTGCCCCACGGCCACGGCCGCACGGCGGCCCCGTGCAAAAGCGCAGGGCCCGGTGCCGCCCCGCGCCCAGCCCCGCAGCCTCACCTGCACGATGTCCCTCTCGGCGTAGCGTCCCCGCGACGACACGCGCACCTCGTCCCCGTCCAGCTCCTCCATGGCTGGGGGGCACCGCTCAGACCCTGCGTGCGGGCGCCCCCCGGGCCCCTCCCTGTCCCCGGCCCATCCCGCTCACCCTCGAACTCGGCCGGCCCCACTCCCACGATGATGATGGACATAGGCAGCGCGGAGGCCTGTGGGGCGGAAGGGCAGCAGCCATAGGCTCAGAGCGGCCCGGCAGCACTAAGGCCGTGACCGGTGCCTGGGCCGGTGGCGCGTGGCCACTCACGGTAACGATGGCCTCCTTGGTCTGCATCATGTCGGAGATGACGCCGTCAGTGATGATGAGCAGGACGTGGTACTGAGAGCCGTCAGTCACCTGGGCAGCCGTGCTGTGGGGACATGGCGTGGGATCCCTCCAGCAGCCCCCCCACGTCAACCCCCACGGCGTGGCCATGGGACGGGGATGGCCCCACAGCGCTCACCCGGCCACCTGGTTGATGATGGGGGCGAAGTTGGTGGGCCCGTAGAGCTGCACGGTGCGCAGGCTCTGCAGGTAGGACTCGAGCACGCCCTCGATGCCAGCACAGCTGGGGTTGTCCACGTTGTTGTTCTGGGGACAGGAAGGGTGCTCTCATGGCGCTGGGTAGGATGCGGCCAGGCTGGCTGCTCCCCAGCCCCATGGGCTGCCCCACACCTGGCAACAACAGGTTAACCCCAGCCTTGCACCAGGACGCACCAGGGGGAACTGGTGGGAGATCTTGCCATCGGGTGGCAGCTTGGCACCAAAGCCGTAGGCAGGGAAGAGCTTGTCACTGTCGTAGTCCTGGATGATCTCCCCGACGGCCTTGAGTGCCAAGGCGTAGGCGCTCAGCTGGTAGGGGCTGGCGTAGTGCAGCGACGTGGGCTGCGATGGCAGCCCTGCAGCACAGCACCCATCAGCACCCACCCAGTGCCACTGCCCAGGTCCCTCCCACCACTGTGCTCACCGTTGGAGGCCGTGAAGTCAATGGCGACGGTGAAATTCAGCTGTGTCCTTAGAGGGAGAGCGAAGGAGGCTGCCAGCCCCAGGCACGGCGTGACCTCTGCCCACTCCCCCAGACCCACTGCCCACCCCACAACTGCAGCCACCATTTTGGCACCCCCAGGCTGCAGTGTCACCATCACTGCCTTCCTGTCCCTGTCCCTCGGGAGCTTGGGGGCACCTGGCCCCACTCACCCGCCCTGTATGTAGTCAACGAAGGTGAACTCAGACTCGACGGAGAAGGAGAGCAGAGTCACCTGTGGGCATGGGGCATCAGAGCTGGCACCCTGCAATGGGTGCGAGCTGCAGGAGCACCCCAGCCCCACTCACGGTGCCAGAGTTGACATATTTCTTCTTCTTGCACTTCTTCCTAGGGTTCAGCACCTGCGGGCACCAGGCAGGTCCTGCTGCGGGGCTCCCCACGCCCCCAAAGCTGCCCCACTGTGGCCCCTGCCCTACCTCATACACTGTGAACTGGCTCTGTGCACGGGACAGCTCCCGGTAGCTGGTGGCAAACTCCCCAATGAAGTCGTGGCTGCAGGAGGAGCACAAGGTCTGAGTGTGTCGTGGGATGAGGAACACCCTGATGCCTCTCCCTTTGGGGCACAGCCTCACCTCCCATCCCGGTCCCAGTCGTACACATCAATCTTCACTGTGCTGGAAGTAAAATGGGGCTGAGGGGGAGCTGCTGGCATGGCCCACAGTGCCCAGGGCTCAGCGTGCCATCAAAGTGGCACTGCATGCCCAGGGAGGGGAACAGGAAATTTGGGTCACAGTGGAGCTCTGGGGAGGGGGAAGCTTTTCTGTAATTTGGGTTGCAAAAGGAAAAGGAAAAAAAAAAAAAAAAAAGAACACCACTAAGAACCCAGGTTGGAGTTGCATGCTGGCTGTGGGGAAATGCTGTGTCCTGTCCTACTGCTGCCCCATTGCACACACCACAGCAGCGGCCCTGTGGTGCAGAACGGGTTCACAATATATGGGGCAGCTCTGGAGGAATGTGTCCAGGACACATTTTGGGGGATAGGAGATGTATCCAGGGCTGGACAAGGGGTTGCAGGATGGTGCCAAAGCGTGGGGTGGGTCAAGGCTGCCCCACAGAACCATCCTCACCGGTCGTAGTCACCGTTGCAGAGGGCACGCACGGGTATGGTGAAGGGCTGCCACACTGGGTTAAGTGTGTTCTTCACCACCTCCGTCTTGTGGCAGATGGTGAAGCTGCGGGGACGGGGCAGGGTCAGGGCATGCTGTGCAGGGACACCTGCACCCCACATCCCCACGCTCACGTGCCGTCCTCGTTGCTGCGGTAGAAGACAAGGAAGGGGTCAGATTTCCCGAAGAAGTCCTTCTTGTCCAGCTTGTTGGCACACAGCTGCATGGTGACGATGTCCTGGGGATGGGGACTGTTACCACCAGCCTGCTCCTCTCCCCACGCTCGGGTAGCGTGCAGATGCAGCACTCACCCTGCAGTTGCTCAGCTCCTCGGCCAGCAGCAGGATGGTCCCACACCGCTTCCCTGGGACCCCCCTGTGACAACAGCCCAGCGTGGGGACAGTGGGGACAGCACAGGGGCAGGATGCGGGGCGCTCCGCAAGGCCCGATGCTGCAGGTGTGTCCCCAGCCATGCACAGGGACACTGGGCAGCATGGCCACCAGGGTGTCCTGAAGCGGGGTGGGTGGCCAGGGGCACAGTGTGGGACCTCCAGCCCTGCCACAGGATGTGACTCACGTGAGGGCTCTTTCCAGACGGCCCCGCTGGGACCCGATCACCTCTCCCAATGCCACGAACGCCTGCCCCAGGAAGTCCTGCACCCAGGAACAGCATGCTCAATCCTTGGGGGCTGTTGTTTGCAGCCCCCTCCCCCTCTCATCATCCTCAGCCTGCAGCCTTATTTCCCACAGGACCCCAGATGACCTGAGCTCACCCTGTGCCCTGTAAGAGCCCATGTCCATAGCCCACAACCCCTCCTGCACCCCCAAGGCCACCCTGTATCCCTGAGCTCATCCTGCAGCCCTACAGCCAACCTGTGCACCCACCCTGTGTCCTGGCCCCGTCCTGTATGCCCTGGGCCAGCCCACAACCCTGGACTCATCTTGTATCCCCCAGAATGTGTCCTGGTCACATTCCTCCAGAGGCACCCTGTGTATCCTGGAGCCCTCCTGCACACCCACAGCAGGCACCAGTTCCCCAGCATGGCAGATACCTACCTTCTGCCAGACCCAGTGTGGCATGGAGAGACAAAGAGCAGGGTGAGCCCCCTGAGGCCAGGGGTGCCCATCCTATCCAGAAGCACGGACAGGACATGGCTTTGGGATGTCTGGAGCACTCACCTGCTTGTAGATGGAGCAGCTCTTAGAGTCCACGTTGTAGCTGGCAGTAGCAAAGCAGAGCTGTGAGCTGGCATCCGGGCACGCCCCCTTGTCTTCACTCAGAGCTTTGGGACCCCTGGTCGCCCCGTTTCTGACCCCTCTGCCCATCCGTGCTGCAATACTCTGTACTGTTATGGTCTCCCACAGGTTACCCATGGGCTCGGCAGCCCCAGCCTCGTGCTCCCCATTGCTGCCGAGGCACTCACACATCAAAGCGAAGGTTTTGCTTCTCCTCAAAGTAGTAATCGAGGACAAACTTGCGGACGAAGTCGGGGTTCAGGGTGTTGTCGATCACCTCGGTGCGCCCGAACTGCGGGGATGGTTCCGTGAGGGCAACCCCCTCATCCCCACATCCCTCCCCAGCGCAGCTGCCCCGGCACTAATCCCCGATTAGCGGCAGGGAGGGATCATTAGGGTGGAAGCGGGCGGCCATATGGGCCCATTTAACCGAGCCGGGGATTAGCCAGGAGCCGGGGCACTGGGGACGGCGGGGAACGGGGAGAGGTGCAGCACTCACTTCTTTCCACTCGCTGCTCCCCGTGCCCTGCACGAAGAGGATGACCACTGTGGGGAGAGGGACAGAGCCGTGCCACGCTGCGCCGTGCCCGCACCCAGAAGTGCCACCGCTGCCACCCACCTGGGTCGGACTTGGAGAAGGTGTCCATGTCCAGCAGGTTCCTGGGGGGGACCGAGCTGCGAGTGAGCGATTGTGCGCACCCAACCCCTCACGTGTCCCCCGTGCGTGGACTGTCGGGGGATGGCACCGCGCGGGAGAGCCGCACACAGCCGTGGGGCAGGAGGGTGGCCGGGCAGGGGCGGCACGGTGGGACGGAGAGGAGCAGCGTCTCCGGCGCTGACAGTGATTGAACGTGACAGAGAACCCATTTACAGCACGAAACCTTCCCCGGTGCCGCCGGCAGCGGCTAATGGAGAGCGCAGGAGCGAGGAGAAAGCGGACACAGCGGGGGGGCACCGCGCATCGCCCCGCGGCCGCCGCGGCGGTAGGACAGTGGGAAGCGCGTTGATAGCGGCTCCGCCGGGCTCGTCACGCAGCGCGGGGCTCCGCTCCCCCGGCCCGAGTGCGGAGAGCAGCCCCTGGGCGCGGCTGAGCCCTGGAGGGGCTGCAAAGCCAGAGGCTCGGCCGCGTCCAGCAGCGCGCCCCGGTCCCTGCCCAAAGGCGCGGGTACCCACGGCAGCCCTTCCACCTGCTGCTCTGCGGGGCTGGGAGACGGCGAGGGGAGAACGCAGCCTCCGGCCCAGCTATGCCCCACAGCCGCAGGGCGGGAGTTTGGTGACAACCCCGCAGGACGGGTGATTCGCCCCCACCTGCCCCCGGTCCGGGGGTCTCCGGGGCGATCCCTCGCAGGGCTGCGCTCGGCCCCCTACGGCCGCCGCTCTGGGCCGGGGGCATCGAGCGGCACCGCCGATGCGCTCCCGTCCCGCGGGCACCGAGCCGGCCTCGGAGAGGGGCAGTGCCGGCACCGGGCACGGGGGCGCCCGAGGCGGCGAGCCGGGTTCCCGGAGCGGAGCGGGCAAGGGACTCCCCGCGCACCTCCCCACGCGTTCCGCATCCCCCCGCGCCCCGGCTCACCGGCAGGACACGGTGAGCTCCACCTTGGTGCCCGGCACGCTGCCGGCCGCCGCTTCCAGCGCTCCCGGAGCCGCCATCCCCGCGCGGGCGCCGCCGCTGCTCCGCGCCGCCTCCTCCAGCACCGCCGAAGCGGGCGCGCCCGGGGGCGGGCACGGGCACGGCGGCCCCGGCGGCGGCACCGCCCCGGGAACGCTCAGACCAGGGTACCGGCGCGCGGGGCTGGGGGGGACGCCGTCCGGCTCGGTTCCCGCCGGGCGGGCGGGCTGTGCCCCGCTGACCCCTCGATGCCGACACCCGTCCCGTCGGGACTCCCGCCCGGAGGAGCTCTCGGCCCCGCCGCGCTGCTATTTCGGTGCCGCCGCTCCCGGAGCGTGGGCCGCGCTATTTATAGCGGGCGGCTCCCCCGCCGGAGCCGCTCCCGGCTCCTCCGCGCCGCCGCCCTTCCCAGCTCGCCCGCCTCCCGCAGCCCAGGCACCACGCAGCCCAGGGGTCGGCACACGGAGGTCTTTACTACGGGGCCGCCTCGGAGCCCCCGCCGCTCCCCGGCCCCGAGCAGGGTAATCACAAGCGGGTGCTCGGTGCTGTGCCCGCGTGCCCCCGAGGACGGGGGTCCCGGCTCGGCCAGGGGTCCCCGGTTCTCCATCCATCCGTCCTGGAACGTGGCGGCTCTCAGAGCGTGCTGCTGCCTCTCAGTCCCACGCCCCGCACGAACTGCTCGAGGAGGCCGCCGATGGCCCCCGAGGGGCTGGGGGGCACGGCCTTCAGGCCGATGGTCCGGCTGTAGCTGGCCAGGAAGGCGGAACGCACTTCTTCCAGCCGGGACTCGCGGTCGCTCGCTGACACCAGCCTAGGAGACACAATCGGGAGGTCAGCGCTGCGGCTGTCCCACGGCCATGCGGGGCTCGCAGGGAGGCAGCGCCAGCCCTGAAACGCCCCGGCTGTGGCACCAGCGCTGCTGCCTCCCTGCTCAGCCCCTGCAGCATCCCAGTAGCTTCCCCCGGCTCTCCTCCACCGCTCCCTGACTTCTCCCCCTACCCTAGATGCATAGATATCGCGGTTGTTGCTGGCTGACATCAGCCCTCGTGCCGGCTCTGCCCTTGTTTCCAGACGAAGCCCGGCCACCTGTGCCATGCTTGGACAGCCACTTCCACCTCAGCTGCAGGCAGCCATCGCTGCCCCTTCACGCACACATCAGGGAGCAGCTTTGGCAAGGAGCAGGGACAGGAGGCAGCCGTGCACAGGCGGGACGCAGCCCTCAGTGCCTTCCTCGGATCCCACTTTCCTCTCCAGCTCAGCTCAGCCCCCGGCTCAGAGTGCAGCAGGGCGAGGACTTAACGTTCCCAACCAGGGAAGCGGCAAAAAGCAGTGCGGCCATTCAGAGCCAGCAGCTCCACATGCCGTGGCTCAAACCTGTCCTCGCCGCGGCTTCCAGCGAGAGGAAGGCATTCCTCAGAGGTCGCCCCAAGGGCACAGCTCAAAACTCCCCATCAGAAATTCTCTTTCATCTCCCCAGCGCCTGGGCCGCCTCGAAATTGGCACAGCTCATTTGAATGGAAGCGTTCACCACCCACAGCCAACAGCTTCAGTCTGGAAATGGCAGCGAGAGGATATGGTGGGAGGCCCGTAAACAGTGAGCACTGCTGCGACAGCCCGCCCGGCCGCTGTGCAGGGTCTGGTAATGAAGAGAAGCCAGAGGGCGAAGTAAAACAGGCGACGCTTCTGAACACATGAAAAGATGCTCGTTGGCAACCTCATTAGGATGGGGAACTCACAAAGCTGCCAGCATGAAAAAGAAGCTGGATGAAAGCAGGGCATGCTTATATCCCATGTTCAGTGATCTCAGATGGCAACTGCGGAGGTAAGGGAGGATGTGCAGCAGTCAGGTCCTGCAGCTTTGGGCTCTCACATCTTTTATGGGACAGCTGAACACGCAGACAGTTTTATGGAGTGGTATGCGCAGAGGTGCAGGGCCACCAACAGCCCGTGTCCCTCAGTGCCACATCCTCACCCTGCCCTGTGATGCAAAGCAGAAGCTTAACTGGAATTTAATTTCCCCAAACTCACATTGTGCTGGGCTGCAAACACTCAGGATAAAGCCACAGCAGGCTCCTGAGCAGCACAGGAGCAAGAGGCAATGCTGGGGCAGGCTCAGTGCTGCATCTTTGCACTCCCTTCTCAATAGCAGCCTGGGCCTGGCCCCGCAACCCCCAGCACCCCAAGCAAAGAGCTGAATGGGGCAAGGCGTTCATGGCCTCAGCTGCACTCCCAAGGGAGAGGCAGCACTGCTGTTCCCCACCCTTTGAACCTCCCAAGTCGCCAAACTGCAAACAGCAAGAGCCTCCAGGTAGCTTCTGCGCCTAGCTTCTCCCTGCCACATTCCCCATTCTGACGTTACCTCCCGGCTGCTGCTCAGCAGCCAGGCAGCACCGCTGGGCTTGGGGGACACAGAGCAGTCACTGCATCACACATCTGCTCCTTGGTCCCTTCTGCTTCCCTCCTGCTCCCCTCCCCCAGCACTGCCCAGACACTACAGGAGCAGCACAGTGTGTCCCTGCTAAGGCAGAAAGGGAACCTGATGGCAGAAGTGTCCCACACTCCCTGTGAATCTCGCCCTGCACGGGGCAGCTGCTTGGATCTACTCAAGATAGCAGGCAGCTCCCAGAGGAGCCAAACCAGGCAGTGTCTCACAGCACACATTTGTTTTCATGTTGCTCTACCTCCAAAGTACATACTCTGATCTCCATTACGGGACTGTGAGCTTCAGCGGCACGCCGCCAGTGCAGCCAGCCAGTGGCAGCCCCTGAGCTGCCATTTCAGCTGCTTGATTGAGAGCTTGCAGCCTGAAGGCACACACCAAGGCTCTGCTCTAACAGCAATTAAAGCACAGCTCCTGCCTTTCAAACTTCTGCAGAGGTGACTTTCTATGCAGGGAGGGCTGCGTGCTTCCCCACCGTCTGCACGACGTAGGGGCTGCTGTTCTGCCCCAGCCTTATGCAGCACCTGCAAACACCACCAGACAAAGCAGGGTGATAGAATTAAAGCCCCTCTCCTGCTGCAGCAAGGACCTGAACCCAGCAGGGAGATGGAGATGAGCAAGATTCAAAAGCAAGGGTAAGCAGTCCTGTCCTGTCACGCTCACTTCCATGGATGCCCAAATTCATTGTCTTCAAAGAAGAGCAAGAAAAGCCTTCTCCTACAGAAAGCATCGTGCCCCCCATCACTGGATGGAAGAGATGTGGGTTTCTTTCAGAGCTCAGTGAGAGAACGTGCAGACGGAAAGCACCAAGGCAGTGAAGACGGGACAGCTTGTTACAGGCTGCCAGGCTTCTTCCAGAGCACCAGGTGGGAACGTTCCAGCGCCTGCAGCCAGCTGGGAGAGCGTGGGGAGACGCTGCATTGTAGACACTTACAGGCAAGTGTTAGGGAACTCATCCGGGAAGCTGCAAGGGAGAGAGGCGTCTGCGCTCAGGGTTGCCTGCTCCCGAATACTGCCACACCCTGTCACCATCTGCCAGCTGCCAAAGTCTGTGGAAACGGAAGATCCGGGCAGAGAATGGTCCGCCGATCTGGGGCAGAGAGAGAGGGAGACGGGGCCATCAGTCAGGTCATCAGCCACACGCCTCCCGCTGCGCCGCTGCCAGGGGGACGGCCGCCAGCAGCGCCGGTGCCAGCAGTGCTGGCACTCTGGCAGCAGGGCAGCATGCAGCGCTGGCTCGGCCCTGGGCCAGGCCTTTCCTCTGATTGCGTGAGGAGAGCCAAGCTGGTGAGGCAACCGAGCGGCACAGGTGCCTGAGGAGCCAGGCAGATCAAAGCTAGCGAGAAGCAGATGGCCATGCAGAACAGTGAGACCCTTTAGCGAGATGCAGCAGCCCCAAATCCCACACAGATGTGGAGCATCCACCTGTAGCTCATTTCAGCTGTGAGCGCAGCCCAGGGCAACGGCAAAGCCTGATGGAGAGCTGTGGCTGTGACTGGCTTGCTGGTGAGGAAGATTTAGAGACCCACGGTCTGCAGAGGCAGTACCACCAGCGCTGAGCAGGACTGTCCCTGTGCCTTGGGCACCCACCCCCCTGCAGCTCCATCCCCGGATTAGGAGGGTGGGCTGTGCTGGGGAGGTGCAACTTTAGAATGTGAAACATAATTAAGAGAAGGCTTGCAGGATGTAACCTTCCACCAGGAAAGCAGGGAACAAGAAAGCTGAGAAGTGAGCCTGAGGAGTCCCTCCAAAATCCAAGCAGCGGGCAAAATCACCTGAGTGGAACCCCGAAGTCTCAGCTTTCCGGGAGCAAGCCATTACTGTGCCCTGCTGCACAGCAGCACACACACTGCTGGAAGCACAGCCTGTGGCAGAGCTACTCAATTACACACTACCAAGATCTTGTGGATAATTTATCTGAGATGTGCCGAGCACAGAGCAGTGCAAGAGCTCCAGCTCTGCTGGGCCAGGTACTCGCATGCTGTCTTCACAGCTAAGAATAGCTGTGGCGCAGTGCAGCTGCTCCCCGAGAGGCCAGAAGAGCAGCCAGAGCCACAGGATCTGCTACAGCATGGAGGGCCTCGGTGAGAACGGGGAAACACAGGGAAAACCCATCCGTGATCCAGATCTAAGCCTGGCATTTAGTGAGTCTGATCAATATATCCAAGCTTGAGAAATACAGCCCCGAGCTGCACACGAGCTTCCCCCGGCAGTGCTGGTGATCCTGCAGCTGCAGGTTGAGTAATGCCACTTTTTTCAGGTCCAGGCTCTGGAAGGGCAGCACAGGAAGAAATGGGAAGAACAGAGAACTGACTGCCTTGTGCAACACTTGTCCTCAGGCTGTGAGGTGAACCAAGTGAGTTCAGAGAGCAGTTGTGAGTGCCTAGCACTGAGAAAATGCTTTCTTCCAAAAAGATGTTTTTTCTAGAGCACGTAACACTGCAGTAGGAACAAGGGCATCTCCTACCTTGGATCTGGAGCTGCAGCACATACTGGTAGAGATGAGACAGGGATAACCCTCCCTGGGATACAAGGAATTCATAAAGCAAACGGAGCAGCTTTTTACTGACATCTATCCCTCTCCCTGCCTCTGGGAGATAA